GATGAGACATTTATTCACACCTGAATTGATACTGAACAAGTTTATGCAAAAAGTCAGCTTAAGAAGCGCTAAATTAGATTAACAAGAAGCATAAGCTCTACAAAACTGACGATCAGTATTAATAATACTCAGCCTTATTGACGCTCAGCTTTAATGAAGTTCAGCTTTGATGATACTAAGCCTTCATGAAGTCAAGCCTTAATGACACTTTGCATTATCTACGCTCAGCCATGATGACGATCAGGCTTTTTATGACGCTCAGCCTTGATAACGCTCAGCCTTGATAACGCGCAGCCTTGATAACGCTCAGCCTTGATAACGCTCAGCCTTAATGACGCTCAATCTTAGCGACGCTTAACCTTAATGACGTTTAGCATTATCAACGCTTAGCTTTAGCGACGCTTACTCTTAATGACGCTTAGCCTTAATAACGCTCAGTCTTAGGGACACTTAAATTTGACGACGCCAAGCCTTAATGAAGATTAACATTACATACGCTTAGAGACGCTTAGCCATAATGACGCTCAGCCATAACGGTGCTCAGTTTTAAATACTCTTCTCTAAAACTGATGCTCAATCAGATTCAAAAAACACCTCGCTTATAGCAAAATTCCAAAGTATTTACTCACTGATTTGAAAACCAATAAAATCTTCAGACATTTAGATCATTAATTGCCGGAAACAAATTACCTAATTAAATCCCTTGACAAATATTTTCTAGTTCTTGATGAAGCTCTATATCTAATCTATCAGATAACTTCATCCCACATCCACATCCATTGCCATCATTCGATCAAAATAAATTAGGATTTTTTATAAATTTTCCATTTTTTGAGAATCTTAAAATAGAAAAATCAAAAAATGTAGAAAAATTACCAACGTAATCGGAAAAAATTCACGCTTTGTTAAGCAATTTTTTGTTTTCTTTTATAATCTACAAATCAAGCAAAAAAAAAATCTGAAGAGCACGCAAAAAATTACAATTTTATATTTTTCAGCTCATGTCAAAGGAAAAAAAAGAAATGTAAAATTAGAAATGGAGAAGAGCTTTTTGGTAAATCTGAAGATTTTTTTGTAAGCACAAAGGACTGAAATGGAATTAAGTAAGCCAAACGAGTGAATGGTTTTGTGAGTAGCGAAAGGATTTAAAAATAGATGAGAAAAGTTTCCAAGGAAATGAATTAATATTTTGATACATTTTTAAAGGAGAAATGAAAACAATTTCATTTATAGAAAAATATTAGTCTGGAAATCATTCTGGCTGAGCGTCATTTAAACTGAGCGTCATTTAAGCTGAACTTTATTCTGAATAAGCGTCATTTAAGCTGAGCGTTGTTCTGGCTAAGTGCCATTCCGGTTGAGCATCATTCTGACCGAGTGTCATTCGAGCTAAGCTTCATTCTGGCTAAGTGTTTTCCGAGCCAATTGTAGCTTTGACTGAGAAAATTCAGAAATTAAAATCCAAATCTCATCTCATTGATTTAACCACCAAATCTTCAATCCCGAAATAAAATCAAAAAGTACAAGTTTTTTACTATCAAACCCATTTGTCACATCCCAATCACAAAAACTAACAGTCCACTTCACAATGACGACCCCATAAAACCCCATCCTTGGAAATTCAAATGTGCGAATTTTATATTCTTTTAAAAATCCGTGTCAAATTGCGGATTTTCAGATTATCATAAAAATTCCAACAGTGTTATAAGAAAAATCATTGAACGGCAGTAAAATTCCAACAAAATTGATGAATAACTGCATAAACTATAAACTTGTATCCTTCGTCTTATGTCTTTACTTGACTTTTACTGACTACTTCAAGTCGTAAGTCAATAAAATTTATTTACGATAAAGAAAAAAGAATCGAGAGAGAAAAGGGTTTATTTTATGACTACAGAATAAAGCACTTGAACCTTCTGTGAGGGAAAGACGAGATGAAAAAATTGGAATAAAGGAAGAAGAATTCTTGAGAGTCATCGACTTCAATTGTTACATTAAGTCTTTTTGGAGGCTGAATTTTGAGGAGATTTGAGGGAATTGAGGGTGTCATTTTGGGCATGGAGGATGAATTTCTGAAGCTGAGCTTACATAGGGCTGTGCGTTTTTCAGTCTGAGCTGCATTGAAGCTGTGTTTTCTCACGCTGACCTTCCCTAAAGTTGTAAATTTTTTGAGGTTAAGCTTACATACGGCTGTGCGTGTCTTAGGCTGAGCTGCATTGAAGCTGTGTTTTCTCACGCTGACCTTCCCTAAAGTTGTTAATTTTTTGAGGTTAAGCTTACATACGGCTGTGCGTTTCTTAGGCTGAGCTTAATTAGGGCTGTGCGTTTCTTAGGCTGAGCTGCATTGAAGCTGTGTTTTCTCACGCTGACTTTCACTAAAGTCGTAAATTTTTTGTGGCTAAGCTTACATACGGCTGTGCGTATCTTAGGCTGAGCTTAATTAAGGCTGTGCGTTTTTCAGTCTGAGCTGCATTGAAGCTGTGTTTTCTCACGCTGACCTTCACTAAAGTTGTAATTTTTTTCAGGCTAAGCTCACATAAGGCTGTGCGTTTCTTAGGCTGAGCTGCATTGAAGCTGTGTTTTCTCACGCTGACCTTCCCTAAAGTTGTAAATTTTTTGAGGTTAAGCTTACATACGGCTGTGCGTTTCTTAGGCTGAGCTTAATTAAGGCTGTGCGTTTCTTAGGCTGAGCTGCATTGAAGCTGTGTTTTCTCACGCTGACCTTCACTAAAGTCGTAAATTTTTTGTGGCTAAGCTTACATACGGCTGTGCGTTTCTTAGGCTGAGCTGCATTGAAGCGGTGTTTTCTCACGCTGACCTTCCCTAAAGTTGTAAATTTTTTGAGGTTAAGCTTACATACGGCTGTACGTTTCTTAGGCTGAGCTTAATTAAGGCTGTGCGTTTCTTAGGCTGAGCTGCACTGAAGCTGTGTTTTCTCACGCTGACTTTCACTAAAGTCGTAAATTTTTTGTAGCTAAGCTTACATACGGCTGTGCGTTTCTTAGGCTGAGCTTAATTAAGGCTGTGCGTTTTTCAGGCTTACCTGCATTGTCAGTTTCATCAGTCAGTATCTTTTTGTCAGTTTCAAGTTGTAAAATGGTAAAAAATGCGCTATAAACCTTTTAAATTTCCTAACTCGTGTCACATTTACAACATTTTCCGTCACAAAAATCTCAAAACTTTTTCATTTTTTTTCTTATTTACAATTTTTTCAAACAAGGATAAGATAAAAATCTAAAAGTAAAATGAGAAAAAAAAAGAATTTCCAGCCAACTTTTTTTTCCATGTTTTCTCCTCGAACAATGTCGACATTTTACAAGAATAAATTTAGAAGTCATCCACTTGACAATGTTATATCCTTGCTATTGACATGATCCATGGAGATTTCGTGCACGAGGTGAATTTATTTTGTTGTACATTAAATGGATGGATTGGGTTGAGTGGTTTAAGATAAGCTTGAATATTTGAATATTTTGTTATTGAAATTTATGTGTGTTATGCTTAAATTAGGTCAATCTACATACGATTTGGATGAGAGTTATGATTATGGTAATTTTTGGGACTTGGGTTGTGGCTGCTGCGGTAATGTTGTTCACAATACACAACCAACGTGTTTTCACATAATTTTTTCGTAAATAAGCTCAGCTTTAAGAGGCAAGGTGAGCACAAAAGGATGAAAAACCGCAGCATTAACAAAGCCACAAAGGGATAATGAAGAGGATTATGAGTAGTTTTGTTTATGGAGTTCATGGCTATTGTTTTGGTATTTTTTATATTCATTCATAAGGATTTGCATTCATTCAAGTGAAATAAGAGAAATGAGAAATTTTAGTGGAGAATTAAAAATAGTCTCATGCTCCTAAAGCTGAGCTTTACCGACCAAATCTGAGCTTCATTGACTAAAGCTGAGCTTAATTGGCCAACACTGAGCTTCATTGACTAAAGCTGAGCTTTGTTGAGTAAAGCTGAGCTTCATTGACCAAAGCTGAGCTTAATCAACCAAAGCTTAGCTTAATCAACCAAAGCTGAGCTTAATTGACTCAATTTGAGCCTCATTGACCAAGCTGAGCTTTATTGATTAACGGTGACCTTCGTTGAGTAAAGCTGGACTTCATTGACTAAAGCTGAGCTTCATTAGCTAAAGCTGAGCTTAATTGACCAAAGCTGAGCTTCATTGACATGGGTTGAGCTTCATTGAACAAAGTTGAACTTAATTGAATAAAGCTGAGCCTCATTGACTAAAGCTGAGCTTCATTGACATAAGTTGAGCTTCATTGACCAAAGCTGAACTTAATGACTAAAGCTGAGCCTCATTGACTAAATCTGAGCTTCATTGACTAAAGCTGAGCTTCATTGACTAAACCTGAGCTTCATTGACTAAAGCTGAGCTTCATTGACTAAATCTGAGCTTCATTGACTAAAGCTGAGCCTCATTGACTAAATCTGAGCTTCATTGACTAAAACTGAGCTTCATTGACTAAAGCTGAGCTTCTTTGACATAAACTGAGCTTCATTGACTAAAGCTGAGCTTTATTGACTAAAGCTGAACTTCATTGACCAAAGCTGAGCTTCACTGACTAAAGCTGGACCTCATTGACTAAAGCTGAAATTCATTGACCAAAGCTGAGCTCCATTCGCTAAAGCTGAGCTTCATTGACTAAAGCTGAGTTTTATTAACTAAAGCTGAGCTTCATTGACTAAAGCTGAGCTTCATTGACATAAACTGAGCTTCATTGGCTAAAGCTGAGCTTCAGTAGCTATAGCAGAGCTTAATTGACTAAAGTTGAGCCCCATTGACGAAAGCTGAGCTTCATTGACATAAACTGGGCTTCATTGACTAAAACTGAGCTTCACTAACTAAAGCTGAGCTTCATTGACATAAACTGAGCTTCATTGACCAAAGCTGAGCTTCATTGCACCAAAATAGCAAATTTCTCATCCCTCAACATCCACAAAACAGAACAAAAATAAAACAATATAGCTTCTTATCCCTCACTCACCTTATTCATGTAATACCTCACGAACTCCATACTCTGTTCCAATGCATACGTATCACTGCTACACGAATCAATCACAACCGTTCCGAGTGTGACATTTGCTAATAAATTTTGATCCCGATTAACCTCATCGATGGCATAAAGCATAGCTTCTAACCGCTGAATGCCTTTCTCTTCCTTTATTGCACCGCATGGATATTCGCGATTTGACGATAAAATTTCATGCATTGGAAATATTCCGCCGAGAATAATGTCACCGCTTGTGCGAATTAATTTGCCATTGCCATTGTAGTCATTGGCATCGAGCGACTGGATCGTTGTCATGAGGAAATTTATGAATAGATATAAACTGAGGCTGAATGATGTTCTGATTGGATTGCTTTGTGTTTTTGATTGATGCATTTTTTAAGTCGTTGATATTTTTTTGAAGCTTTGGTTGCGATTTGGTGTTTTTTTTTGTAGATTTTTTTTTGAGGTTATGTTTTTAAAATTTTATTTTTTTTCATATTTTGACGTTGATTTTGGATATTTTTTTGAATTTCGATTTTTGAATATTTTTATTGGCTATTTCATAGTTTTGTAGATTTTCAATTTTTGACTGACTTTAACTTTTTAGCTTTTTTTTTTCACTTTTAAAAGGTTTTTGAATTTCTTTGAATTTTTTTGATCTTCTTTGAATTTTTTTGATCTTCTTTGAATTTTTTTGATCTTCTTTGAATTTTTTTGACTTTTTTTGAAATTTTTTGATTTTTTATTTTATTTGAAGTTTTTAAGTTTTTTTTAATTATTTTCAATTTTCTCAACAAAAACTTTTTTCAATTTAGTAATAATTAAAATTTTTTCAATACTTTTGAGCACTAAATTTTAAATTTACAATTTTTACTTGAGCTTTTTTACACTTTTTAATCCTTATCATTATATTTTATCATTAAAACTAGTCAACTAATTCTTTTTATATTCTAAATATGGAGTTTTATTCAATTTTTTAAATTATTTTGCTAATTTTAATATTAAATTTTTATTTTCACTTTATTCATAATTTTTAAATATTTTTTTCAGGAACTTTTTTCAAATTTTTTGCATTTTTATTTCAAATTTTTTGATATTTTTTCACAATTTTTTAACTTTTTTAATTTTATATTTTTTTTGTTGAAATTTCTATCACATTTAGTACATTTTAATGTCGTTTATTTCACTAATTTTTGAGCTGATGATGAAGTTTTAAATAATATTCAACTAAATGACTTGATTGTTGATGAACATTGATTTCTGAAAATATAACAAAAATGAAATTCATTAAATGTAAAAAAACCAAATTTTAATTAAAATGATAAAATCATTATTTTAGTTTTATGAATGACCTTAATAGACCCCTAATGTTATGAGATGGTTGCCATAGAAGTGTTAAAAATCATTTGTAAAAAAAAACTTAATAACAAGTCATAAAACCGTAATAATTCCTAATCTAATTATCCTTAATAACCGATCTTAATTGAATCTTTATTCACAACTTTTCTTGCGATAGTTCAGCAGTTCCACAATCATTTTATGTCTCGAATTAGTTGAAGAAAAACTTTTTCTTGTTCATAAATTGAAATTTTCAAGTTGATTGAAACTTGAGCAAATTTATTTTATTTTTATCATTCTTTTCAGGCAAACTTTTTATTCCATCCATTCATGACACAATCATTTAATCAATTTATTATTTTAGTTTTCAACTTTTTTATTGAGTTTCTTTCGTGTTGCTGTGTCTTGTAAGAGGATGATGTTGAAAACGAATGATTTGGTGGATCAGAAGGACAAGTAAAGATCCAAGGGTGTCTAATATGGGTCTAGAACAGTGATGATTAACCTTTGTGACGCGGCACACTTGTCTGCTGTGAAAAATCTCAGAAAAATTCCACAATCCATGTGCCTTGCAGTTTAGTCATGTCTTACCAACAAGGTGAGTTGTAGTACAAAAAAAGGTTGAACACCACTGCTCTAGAAAGATCTAGAAAGACACTTGACTCTGCATTTGAAAAAAAAAATTCATTTTCAAATTAATTGTAAAAATTAAAAACTTTTCACATTTAATTTAAAAAAATATTATTTTTTAGATTGCAAAAGCAGAACTTTTTTTTCAATAAATTAAATATCAAATTTAACACAAGAAGCAGTTAAGTGCCTTGCTGGTCGAATAGGTAAGGCGCTTGGCTCAAATTTGGGATGGTAACTCGAAGGTCGTCGGTTCGAATCCAGCCATTTCCAAATTTGTTCTTTTTCGGAAGTTTAGATACTTCGACTGCTTAATGTACGAGATCAAGCCATAATTGGGCATTTGGGCAACGTTGGATTAAGGAACGGGTCAGGAACTTGAAGTGTAGCGGGAGGAATAGGAACGAGAGTTACAAGATTACCCACGAATGGAATATTGATAGAACGGACCTGAAAAGTATCACGTAACGCCTACAGAAGATCGAAACGAGAGCCTTGGTTTATTTGAAACCTAGATATGAAGATTAGAAGTTTGATCCTACATAATACTAATTCATATGTATACAAATACAAAAGTGTAAAATGTGAATTATTTCCGGACAGTTTGTCGTCAATAAATGCAATAAAGTGCAATTAAAATGGAAAAAAAAAAATTCCAAAAGAATAAAAATAAAATAAAAATTGTGAAAAAAAACTTTTTTTTATGATTCTGTTGTTTGTACCAGACTACCGCCAATTCATATAACATCCGTTAAATTTATATTCAAAAAAATTCAAATTTTTTATGACCGTTATAATATTCAAAAAATTTTGACGGTTAAACCAGATTTTACCATGCACTTACTCATTTTGCTCAAATTTTATTGTTAATAAAGTTGAGAATGGATAAAAAAAAATATGAAATTAATAATTTATGAAGAACTTTGGGATTTCTGCAGAATTGGTATTAATTAAAATAATTTATTGTTTACATAATGTAACTGTTTTTTGAAATTTGAATTTTCGGCTCTAATATCGAAGAAATCGAAATTAATTTCGAAGAAGTCCGAAACGAAATGACGGAAGTCTGGTTTGTACAAATTTAAACTTTTAATGCAATTTTAATTTCTGTGAAGGTTTTTGAAACTTTTTGAGAGATTTATTGCAGTTTTTAAACTTTATAAAGCTTATTTTGTGAACAAGTCAGCAAGAGTTGATGTGGGCTGGATGAAATGTTGATAATTAATTGCTGCAGTTGCAATGTGTGGTCATAGTTACTAACTTTGATGAGCTTTAATCCTTTTATTGACTTTAATTGCTTCCAAAAATTGTTAATAGTCTGTAAAGAGATTGAAAATTTAACAAAAAATTAGTTTTAAATTTAAAAAATATCAAAAATAATTTTAAATTTCAGAAAATTTCCTCCATCAGCCCGAACATATTTCCACTATAACGCCCAAATTACTTTTCATAATTACGACCAAATAATGCCAATATTATAAAATAATTACAATAAATATTTTAAATTTATTCATCGCACATGCACGAGAGGATTTTCACTTTTTTTTAAATCCACACATATTTAATATTATTTCACATAAGCTGACAAATAAAACAAAATTTTAAAAATCAATAAAAATAACAATTCAATCAGTTCACAATTCTTTTTTTTTCAATTTCACGCATACCTCAAACATAAATATCACATCTCAATTATTTGTTATTTGTACGGAATAATTGAATTTGTTTTTATTTTTATTATTTTATATGTGCTGCAATAGCCCGCTTTTTGCGCGCCTTTTGAGCTGATGGTAATTTTTTTTTGAGATTGTTCAGAATTTTTAACAATTTTTTGTGGTTTTTTCAACAAAATTGATTTTATGGAGGCAACTAAGTTGTCGAATTTGGATATTTTGCCAAATTTGGATATTTTTTGTTTATATTTTGAAGTTTTGAAGTAACAATCTTGGAAAAGAAGCTGTATATCGACTCATTAGGGCTTAATACAGTACATAGATGTTCAATATTGTTCTATTAAGTCTGTTGCTGTCCTAAGGGGTATGTGGGAGGATCAAACGTTTTCATATTGCCTTACTGAGATGCCTTGAGGTTTATCGAGGACTTTTTATAGTCACGTTAGCTTGTATGGATCCAAATAGTAAGGTATACAACTTTAATGAACTTAATAAAGCTCTAAATAGCTCTAAGAAGCTTCTTAAGGTCTCTTCTTAAGCCATTTCCTTTTTAACAATCCCGAATAACAAAAGTCGGTTGATCAAATAGATATCCAGCGCCAAGCCTGCATGAATTTGGCATGGTGCTGGCTTCGGTTTACATCCAGCACCATGCCAGAGTCACACAAACTAAGTGCCGGATTTCTGATCGATTAACCGACTTGAATCATTCGTCAATGGATGTCAACTCTTAAGATTAGACAGTTAACTGAGATAGCTGAAAGATTGTTTTATTTGGAATGTGGTCAACTTCTGCAAGAATCCAAAAATCAGCAGCACGTCCTCATCTCAGATCATGCTGGAAATGGCAAAAGTTGGGCAATGAAAAACTTCGTAGATTTTTGACTAATTTTTATGAACTTTTGGAGGTTTTTTAAAATTTCAGTTCAAACTTAGAAGAACTTAATTCACTATAACCTCAAAAATACAAAACACTTCAACAATTCTTTTATCATCAACACCTCATCCAACAAGTTTCAAATAAACAACTACAAATTATCCCCAAATGTATAAATTTCAACTAAACATTTCATTTTCAATTTCATTAAAATTCAATTAAAATTTAATTATTAAACAAATGAAACAATTTTGTTGTTCTTAGTTGTATTAAAGTTTTCTGTTGTTGCTGAAAAGAAGAAAAGTTTTTTTTTTAAGGTTGAAACAAATTAGACACTTGAGGTTTAGCCATGAAAAGTTTGTGGGTTGAAGAAGAGTGAAAAAAAAAGTTTTATTGAAAAACAATTAAAGTGAAAATTAAATTAAATTTAAAGTTGTAGGAGCTCAATTTTTGACATCAAAACCAACTCAAGACATCCCCAAGTGATGTCATATGACATATTATAAAATAAATTGACAACTTTCAATTCCAACACTTTTATTTTCTCAATACGTGACTGAACTCGCAACAGAACAGCTCAAGAACTTCTCGTAAAACATTTTATATTCAATTTAGATTCGAATTAAATTACAATTATTGAATTTACATTGAAAGAGATCAAAAATTGAGAATAAAATTCTTCTGAGCAGCGTGGGCGTTAATGCGAAAATTTTATTACACTGAATATCTGAATGTAAATTAGATCAGTAAATGTGGAGCATCTCTTTAGTGATATTTCGATGAAAATTGTGTTAATGTGAGCTTTTGAGTATAAATTTGAATTTTTTTTGAAGTGAATTAAGAAAATTCATTTAAATTTTGTAGCAAAATCGTATGAAATTCTGGTCAATTTGGTAAAAATTCTGACGAATTTGTTCGAAAATCGGCTAGAAGTTCAGGGGAATTTAAATGAAAATCCGGTATTATTTAAGCTAACTTGATCGAAAATCGTATAAAATTCTGGTCAATATGAATAAAAATCCTTTCAAATTCCGGCCAATTTGATCGAGAACCGCTAGAAACTTTAGATAATTTGAACAATATAACCCAAAACTTTTTTCAAATTCCCAAATTAATTCCAATCTATTAAACTCAATCAACCCCTAAATAGCAAAACAAAGCACATACACTAACCCACGTACGTCACACCATCAACCCAATAATGTCACTTTTGTGCTATTTATCCATTAATTTTAAATTACCATGTTCACTTGCAGCATCTGCTCTAGTACATAATTTCTCATATGGTATGAATTGACTATGACACAGCGAGAACGTTTTTTTTAGCTTCCTTAATTGCACTGCTCGGTGCAATATCTCCTCATTCTATGCTATCTCTTTCCTTCGTATTCTTATGTATGCTGTTTTTTTGTGTGCTGTGTGTGAATGCAGTAGAGGATGTTCATCCATCTTTTCTCGTGTTCTTTATAATGTTAGTTACAGAATGGAATTTTATGGAAGGAAATGGAGTCGGAAAAGAGATAGGGGCAAGTAAGAAAATTATTGGGTTACGGAATTAAAGCGCATTTTGTAGGATATGGGAAGTTTGAGGTTATAATCAGTATAACTTGAGGTTAAGGTCCATTTTTAATGTGAAATTGACGAGAATTCGATTGAATTCATGGTTCAGCCACTCCCTCATATTCAGTTATCATTCACTTGATTTCATGCTTTAAGAAAACATTGGTCAAAAGAACAAGAATTGAAGAAATATTGATCCATACCCTACTCCACCTCATGAAATGCATCCCATACTCAACACATCTCCATTTTCCATCCACATTGCTCATTCTTCTTCAATTCATCCCCATCGCCCCACCCCTTCCAAGCATCCATATTACCATTAGCCATCATCATTATGCAATCACCATTCTCAACACAATTTATGTAATTTAAAGATGCATCTGCACACGAGCATCAAATGTAGCACACAACCCATAACTCCCCTGACTCATTGCTGTCTAGTCTCTGCTCCATTGTGCAGCTTTTAAAATGAAATAAATTCCTTTTTTTTCTTTTTAAAAAATTTCATAAAAGAAAAAAATTTGATGAGAAAAAAAAATCTTTTTTATTTTTGAGCAAAATAAAATAATGAAGCCGTAGATGTAACAGATGATGATGATATCGGGTTTTTTTTTTTTGAGAAATTTATCTAGCAATCAAGATGAAATTAAATTGGGTTTTTGTGGTGGTAATTTGAGGATTGAATGAGAAATTGCAGAATTTTTCGAAATGAAATGAAGGGTTTTTTGGGATATTTTGTGTAAAATGTTAGCTCAATTGGGAGATATTAAGCAGAGTAAGTTGATCAGGTGTTCAGGTTTAGTGGTAATGGATTATGATCTGCTTCTGAGAATACCAGACAGCCATACATCCAGAAAGACTAATAACCTGATGCTAAGATTAAAGATACTTATAGAGCCAGATTCTAGGACAGTGTCAGCCAGACAGCCATACATCCAAACTACATCTAGCACAGCCAAATCAAAAGTATCAACACTGATTCACCATATCCCACTCCTAACCCACAACACAATAATCATCGTCGATGAAAAATATCCTCTTAATTTTATCAGAAAAGCTCATTGAAGTAGCAAACAAAAACTACCATGGTAATAAATAAAACCAACACAGTACCGAACAGAAACTAAAACATTTTTCATTGAAAAAAATATTTCCATTGTTATCGTCCATCGCATAAATAAAATTGTCCATGGCAACAGCATCTGCAATCGTATGCAATTAGAAGAAATTTCCTATGGATTTATTTCCAGCACAAAGAGCTTGAAAAGAGAATTTGTGGAATTAATGGAAGTAACTATTTTGTTGTTCAACATTTTTGCTATGTCAGGAGCAGAAAATTATGCGAATGCTGTGGATAAGTAGGTTAGGAATGTGGAGAAAGCTGGATATTGTGGATGTAATTTCTAAATAAAGATACAAAAGGTTTTGTTTAACGTGGCTTGGGGATACATTTGGATATGAGGATGTTTTGGATTATTAAGCTGAGTTTTAAGCTTTCTAGATGGAAGAAATGAATTTTTGTGTGCATAATTAGGAAAAATGCGCTTTTCACATTACATGTAGTGAATTTTTTACTTGAATGATAATTAATTCAAAATTATAAATTTTGAATCTTTAAAGCTGTTTTTCGTGAATTTAGACAAAATTTGTATAAAAATGCGCTTTATGTGCAACTATGCAGTGACTTTCTACTTGCTAGAATTTTTTTAAAGTTCCTGTGCTAGACTTGTCGAAATTATTGAATAATAGAATTATTGTGATTGATTTTTGAAATTTCAAATTAAAATGCGCCTTAACCACCATCCCACCAATGCCTCTCTTACTTGCCATTCCTTATCCATTTCCAAACTCAATCGATTTTCTGCAACTCTTTCCTTTCATTCCGGTGAACATAAACTTCTACACACTGAGTAGAGCATTGAAAAACAACATTTCATTCATCTCTTCTGACCTGTAATTAATTTCTGCCATTTACTGAGGACTCAAAGCACTTGGACCGGAGTTAATTTCATTTTAGATGAAAATATTTTGTGAAAATAGTTTGTTCAAGTCGCAGATGCGTGACGAGAAACATGGAACCAGTGAGCTTTCATAGTTAATTATTTTGATTGAATTGTTGGGTTTTTTGTGAGGATTTTGTCAGATTTTTGACTGATTTTGTAAGATTTTTGCTAGATTTTTTCGGATTTTTGTCAGATTTTTGTCAGATTTTTGGCAGATTTTTGGCAGATTTTGTCAGATTTATGCTAGATTTTTTCGGATTTTTTTGGATTTTGTCAGATTTTTGCTAGATTTTTTCGGATTTTGTCAGATTTTTGTCAGATTTTTGACGGATTTTTGACGGATTTTGTCAGAATTTTGACGGATTTTGTCAGAGTTTTATAGAATTTTGTCGTTTTTTGTGAGGATTTTGTCGTTTTTTGTGAGGATTTTGTCAGATTTTTGACTGATTTTGTCAGATTTTGTCAGATTTTTGACTGATTTGTCAGATTTTTGCTAGATTTTTTCGGATTTTGTCAGATTTTTGTCAGATTTTTGACGGATTTTGTCAGAGTTTTATAGAATTTTGTCATTTTTTGTGAGTATTTTGTCAGATTTTTGACTGATTTTGTCAGATTTTTGCTAGATTTTTTCGGATTTTGTCAGATTTTTGTCAGATCTTTGGCAGATTTTGTCAGATTTTTGACGGATTTTGTCACACTTTTGCTAGATTTTTGTCGGATTTTGTCAGAATTTTGGTAGATTTTATCGGATTTTGTCAGAATTTCAGCAGATTTCGACACAATTCTGTCAAAATTTATTCACTTGCTCAAATTATCTCCAGTCACCATTAAAAATATTCATCCCACAACCTATCACGTAGCCTCAAAACCCATCAAAAATGAATTTATGAATATTTTACCTTCATCAATTTTCCATTTGACGAAATTTTCTCATTTATTCATTGATCAAGTTCACATTTGACGCATTTGCTTCTTTTAAAGAAAAAGTTGAAAATAGAAAAAAAAGAGAAACTTTTCCACTTTTGTGACCAATAAGTGAGCCACACACTGTAAGCAAAATAAATGGAACAAGTGATGGTTCCGACATGGAAAAAAGGAAAAAGTTTTCCACTTAATGAAAGTGAATTTTTCTTACGTAAGAAGGGTAATTTTTGATGTCTGAATAGATAGAAGTTTTGAAAGTTGGTAAAGGTTGGGATGGGTTGATGGAGTTAAGGATGTTAATCTTAGACTAGAGTAAATTTGGATCAATTTTTATAGCGCGTTTCTAATCCTAAGTGGAATTTAATCTCGTTTTGCTCAACAAAAAAAAAGCGCATTTTACTTAAATTTAGCAAATTTTAAGCGCGTTTTTCTTAATATCGACAATTATGAGCGCGTTTTTTGCATAGTGGACATTTATACGCAAATTTGATAATTCTTAGTTAATTTCGCACGTTTTTCTAATACTGGATATTTTTAACTTGAATTACCCAACTTATCCAGTCTCAATCAGCACTCATAACCTCAAAACAACTCATTTCCAAGCAAACTTCAAAAACACTCACCAAAAAATGAACACAAATATCTTCATGAAGTACCTTAATCTCAAAACAAAATAAAATCAAATAAAACTTTTACGTCTCAATATCCCCAAAAAATACCATCTCGAAGCAAGAACAAGGAAAATTCATTGTTATGTTGATCATTTCCTAATTTGAATCTTTTCATTTCATTTAACAATTTTTATTCGCATCATTTGTGAGACGAAAAACGAAATAAAATATTTTATGCCTCTATATATATGTTGCGTGTGCATGTCTGTGAGCTTTAATCATCCGAATAAGGAAAAAAAAAAGGTCGGAGGAAGAAAAATATTTTTTTTGTGTGCTTTTGACCTGTTTTTTTGTCATGAATGAAAATTGAAATTTAATTTGCTTGATTTATTTTTAGAAAATAAATTTTATTCAACATTTTGTGATGCTTAATGAGTTGTGTCGTCAGTTTGAATTTTTTGAGGCTTTTCCTGGTGACAGAGGCTGACAGTTGATGATTTTGTGGTATTATGTTGATTGAGATGCAATGTTGATTGTTCTTGTGCCTCTTTGCTAGTGTTTTTGAGTTTCAGGTGCATTCACACTAGGTTTTCTTGGTTCAGTTGCCTTTACACTAAGTTTTTGTTCAGTTTGTTTCACACTAAGTTTTCTTGGTTTTAGTGCCTTCATACTAGGTTTTCTTGGTTCAGGTGCTTTCACACTAGGTTATCGTGGTTCAGGAGACTTCACATTGAAGTTTTTCTTTTTTTAAATGACTTAACAATAGGATTTTTGTTCAGGTGCCTTTACACTAAGTTTTGTACGGGTGCCTTAACATTTAGATTTCTTTGTTCAGATGTCTTCACACTGGGTTTTTAAAAATTTTTAAACACTTCAAAAGTAGCTTTAAAGCTCATAAAATATTCAAATTTTCGATTTACATTTTCATTTTCATCTCACACGAGCAGTTTAAAATTATTTAACAGACATAAATACTTTTCCATCTACACATCATCATCATCATCCTCATGAATCTATTTATCTTCTTACATATATCCACTCACACATTTCAGCATTCATAAAATCTGAATATTAAGAAGATTGAAAGCCATGGGAAGAGTTAAAACCTCTCATATATAAAATATAGACGAGAAAAGGGCAAAAGTCGACGGGGTGTGAGATTTTTTTTAACATCTCTTTTCTAGCACATAAATGAAATAGCTTTTATTCACACCATCAATCAACATTAAGTTACATCTGCATCACTCAGTTTTGAATTACTTATAGATGCAAGCAGATGGATAAAATGGATTCATGACCGAATGAGTTTAAAATGTCATTTAAATGGGATTTAAATACAGGTTTTTATGATGAAAAGAGGGATTATATCTGAAACTATGTTAGTGTTAAGGCACTGGAACCAAGGAAACTTAGTGTGAATGCACCTGAACCAATAATACTTAGTGTGCATGCACCTGAACCAATGGAACTTAGTGTGGAGACACCTGAACCAATAATAATTAGTGTGCATGCACCTGAACCAAGGGAACTTAGTGTGAATGCACCTGAACAGAGAAATCTTAATGTTAAGGCACCTGAACCAAGAAAACCTAGTGTGAATACACCTGAACCAATGAATCTTAGTGTGAAGGCATCTGATCAATCAAAACCTCGTGTGAAGACACTTGAACTAATGAAATTTAGTGTGAGTGCACCTGAGCTCAAAAAACCTAGTGTGAAGGCAATTGAACCAAGAAAACCTAATGTTAAGACACCTGAACCAAATAAACTAAGTGTGAAGGCACCTGATCCAAGAAAATTTAATTTGCAGAAATCTAAACAATTAAAACCTCGTGCAGAGGCACCTGAACAAACCAAAGACACCCAAAATCATCTCTAGATACCAAATGCCACCCATCATGTCTCACCGTATCTCATGACATGATTCAAAGTGATGTTCACTGTAATAATTTTAAGTCTAACAAGATGTGATGGAATGTAATTATATTAATGACACAGATTACGAGAAAATATTTTGATTTTTTCCTCCTGCGAGGAGCAGACGAGACTTTAAGCTAAATTAATGGCTCAGAGTGAGACGAGCGATAAATTTGCATTAAAAATTACTTGAAGCAGCTTTTTTAAGGATGGAATTGGAGACATCGAGATATAATTGTGACAATTTGATACTTTTGTGTCACATTTAATGTCCAAACTTATTATATGCTTTAAGCTATCATCATTTTATCACTCATTTACCCAAAAAACTAAGCTCAAATACATCAACATAAAGAAGACATTCTGACATTTTCGAAGTAATCGTTCATTCAATATTGATGAACAAGACAAGAACAACCAAAATAATTCTGTCAATAATTCAAGAAAAAAGACATTCCTTTCCACCTCCTTTTGGTATTTATCTGTCCTTGTTTTTTTATCACTCAATGTGGGAGGATCTTAACTAGGGGTAGCAGTTACTCAATGGTAATAATAATAATGATAATGTCAGTTCAAATGACTTATCAATAAATAAAGTGAATCGTAAATTATGGAAATAAAGGAGCAATAATTGTCGTTGAGGGATAATTAATGGAAATCGATATGTGGTGGGAGTGGGGTCATATATGTGATGTGTTTGGGGTACGAAGTTTGAAGTCAATGCTGGTTGAGGACGATTTGATTGAAGGTAACATGGTTAAGATCTCAGATTTAGGTTTTTTAATTGCCAACTTGTCACAAAAATCTAAGAAAAGTCTGTTCGTGCGTCATATTTTGAGAAAACATTAATGTTGCATCCAAAATATAGCGCACGATTTTTGAAATAGAATTCTAAACCACAAGCTAGCTTATATGCAACAAATATTGACTAGGTTTTTCTCAAAATCAAGGAATTAACCTTAAAGCCAGCTACTTAACCTCAAAATGTAAAAAATTTCTTAAAAATCTAGCTGCATAACCTCAAAATCTGTAACTCGACTTCAAAACTAGCTTCAACCCCTGACAACACATGTCATTTTTCAAAACACTCCAAAAATACCAAATTTCATGTTTATTCTTATTTTTTCCCATACAACAACCTCAAGAAAAACTGTCAAGTCATAGTCGGATGTCAAAATCAACAACAACATACAGACAACACAACATACAAACATGAGCTTAGCATGTACGCATTAATTTGACTTATTCTATAATTATTTCTGAAGCTATAAGCATACAATCATGTTGTTATCTAAAATTATACACTGGATTATACAACATGAATATGTTTAATGGAAATTTTGTGTTGATGTGGTGTCGTTTGGGTAGAGTTGGACATAAAAAATTCATGAAAGATAGCTATTATTGTAGGTATTTTTGATAGATTGTTATGGATAGTTTGGGAATGTTTTAAAGTTGTAAAAAATATTTGGTGGGCGGGGGTTTAAAATTTGAGGTTATGTTGATTTTTTGGGGGTTATGTTGTTTTTTTTGAGGTTATGTTGATTTTTTTGGGGTTATATTGATTTTTTGGGGTTATGTTGAATTTTTTAAATTTTATTGAGTTTTTAAATTAAGTTTTGAATTTTTTTAGGTTATGACGATTTTTTGGGGGTTATGTTAAATTTTTTAGATTTTATTGAGTTTTTAAATTAGGTTTTAAATAATATGAGGTTATGTTGAATTTTTTGGGGGTTATGTTGATTTTTTTGGGGTTATGTTGAATTTTTTAGATTTTATTGAGTTTTTAAATTACGTTTTAAATAATTTGGGGTTATGTTGATTTTTTAGGGGTTATGTTAATTTTTTTGGGGTTATGTTGAATGTTTTATTGAGTTTTTAAAAAAGTTTTTTAATATATTGAGGCATTATTAAATGTTTTTTGATTGTGTTGAAGTTTTAGGTTAGGTTTTAAATGTTTTAAGTTGTTTACAAGCAAATACACCTTAAAAAGCAAGAAAAAAACAAAAAAATTTCAATCTTGTCAATCAGTCTCGCAACAAAATTAATTTCTAATTCCTAAATCACATCTCATCAACTCAGCTAATCGCATCAACACATCAGAACATAATCCCTCCGTTCATTCATATTCATCACATTTCACCGTCTCCAAAATCCACGTCACATGATTTTCTTTCAAAAATCACTTTAATTTTCAATCCACGCGTGTCTTTCCTTTAGACATAAAAATTTTCTTCTTTCTTTCATGTGCATTACTTAATCTTTTCATGTGTAAAAGTAAAGATAGCATTTGACATTTTCATTACCATAATCAATCTTCTCGTGCACGAAATATTTTTTGTCATTTTTCTTTTGAAATGTTCTAAGTTGAGTTTTGTTGATGTCTTTGTATTATGGATTGCTGGGGGGTAAATTAGACGAAGGTGTGGGTTGATGTTGAATTTTGTTGATGAATTATTTAATTTTTTTACTTTAAGACTTCATTTTGATCTTCATTGTCTCTTTTGATCCCTTTTTGACTCTCTTTGGTCTTAATCAATCTGGATTAACTCAATTTGAGCTTTTTCTGACTTTTTTGACTCTCTTTTACCCTTGTAATCACATAGACCTATTCTAACCCTCTCAAAGGATCTCTAAGCTTCCGATTTCAGTGAATTTCACTTTAATTAAGATTGCCAAACCCCCAATTTCACCATCTATAGAAACTAGACTTTCCAGATCTTGAAATATTGACAAACTCGTCATCCCACCCAGACAAAAATCCTAAATTTAACAAACTAGAATGGCACACATCGGTTAAGCGATCAGAAATCCGGCACAAAGCTAGTGTAACTCTGGCATGGTGCTGGATTTTAATCGAAGACAGCACCATGCTAGAATCATGCCGACCAAGGGTGTAATACCGATGAAATGATCAAAAATGATCAAAAATTGATCAAAATGTAATTCTTTAGTTCCACGCCCTTGATGCCGACAAAACGCCAGATTTCTATTCGATTAACCGACTTGTGCCATTCGGGAAAATTCTTAAAGCTCATTTAAAACCAGTTGATTTCACTCCTGATCCACACGTCAACAGACTCCCACATGTCGACCACCACACCATTAAACATTCACATCTCAATTTTCATAAATTCTTCTTCCGTTAAAAAAAATATTCAATTTCCATCACAACAAAATCCTCTCAATCCTAAAAGTCACGAGTTAAATTTTAATTAATCCCATAAAATATTCAGCAACAGATACAACAAAATAAATGTGATTTATTGACATGTAAAACAACGAGAACACGTTCGATTTTTCAATCAATTTATTTTATTTTTATATTTTTTTTTGGTTGATTGAACTAATTTGAGATACGTGACAGAATTTTGATGTAAGTTTATTTTTGGGTTAGGTGGTGGGTCTTGATGAATAATTTACTAAGTTTGATGTTTTTTTGTATGGCATGGAGCTGGTGTGGTGCCTGCTTGACGTCACACATTCAACCCAATTTCAAACTATTCGCCATTCAAGTTTGAATTATCAAATCAAACCATCAATTCTCACTTAAAAACTTCTCTAAAAATCCATTCGCACGCAACACAATAACGACACCATATTCACCCATTTGTTTCAATTATCCTCAACATCCTCAAACTGTAGAGCAGCAAAAAAAACTTTTCAGCTTTTCAGTTTCAAAATTGTTTTATCTTCTTTTTTGCACAATTTGTTCTTTAGCGTCGGAAGCACACAGAACAACAAAAGACAGCTCAAACTACTAATTGATCCTATTATTCCTTTTATGGGCGTCAGCAAAAAAAAAATTGAATTTTCGGAACGGAACAGCAGAAAAAGCTTAAAATGATAAAATTGAGCAAAAAAAAGGATTTTTAAATTTTTTTGTTATCATTGGCAAAAATGAATGAATTCTGGTTTTTTGTGGGTTAGTTTGGAGATTAAAGTTCCAGATTAGACTGGGCTGAAAGACTTGATTGATTCAAATTGAAGTACTAGATTGAACTAAGTTGAAGTACTGGATTGAATTAAGTTTTAGTACTAGAATTGAGAAAAATTTAAGTACTAGATTGGGATAAATTGAAGTACAAGTTTGCATTTAAATGAAATACTAGATTGAATGACAATGAGGTTCTAGATTGAATTGAAATAAAGAACTAGATTTAAGTTCATTGATTAGTACTAGATTGAAATATGTCAAGGTACTAGAATAGCTTTATATAAGTACTAGATTAATTACGATGATATAATAGATTAAATTTAATGGAAGCACCACATTAAAAAGTTAAATTCAAGTACTAGATTATACTAAAATGAAGCATTAGATTAAATTAAAGTACTAGAATGAATTGAATTGAAGTACTAGATTTACCTTATTTAAGTACCAGATTTATTACGTTGAAGTATTAGATTGTATTGAAGTACCAGATTTAGTACTAGATTGTGTCAAATTGAAGTAATAGATTGAAAATAACTAAGCTACTAGATTGCTTTATATTTTATTAATTAACACCATAAACTGATTCTCACAGATCCAGTCGATAGCCTCACTCTACCCCATCAATCTTCTCACTCATCATCAAGCTTTAATCCTTTAATAATTTTTCTCTCACACATTTTTTTTTTCATCACTTGTTCATCCATGTTGACACAACAATTAATTCACATCCCCTTTAAGCTCATTCAGTCATTAATTTATTTTCATCCAACACAGAACAAAAAAAAAGTTTCAATTCTTTTCTCATCATTTCTCATTCAACAAAAACAGATTCATGTTATGATGAAAGGCAACAGCAACAATTTAGATCAAATATCTTCAGGGCACATGGATGCGAAGTTGTGAGCTTTTGATGCTTAATATAGAATTAGAAGATGAAGATGGGTTTTGTAACCGAATTTCCGATATAGAATGTAATGATAATGATACGATTTTAGCTAAGTCAGATATATTTTGACGGTCAGCTT